CTCGTTTTCCGCGTGTATGTTTTTTAAACTGCTAAATGGTACGTTTTTTTTGCAAAAAGATTATATACAAAACTTGCTTAAAAAAATCATATTGATCTATTTTTTTTAAAAAAAGCTAATACTTCATTAATCGCGCGCTAATAAACCGTTCCGTTTTCCATGCATGAGAGATGGGTTCCCAACACCCACCACTGAACACAGCCGAAGTGTTCACTCCGGTGTGTTGCGATCCAAACCGAATATAGGCACTAGGACTTGTGAGAAGGATACTATGGTTGTGTTCTTCCCCATATTTTCCCAAGCCACCTCTCTCGTTTTCCGCACGTACGCTTTTCAAACTGCTAAACGGTATGATTTATGCAAAAAAAAAACTTTCTATATGAAAGTTGTTTTAAAAAATCATATTAATCTATTTTTTTAAAAAAAATATTAATACTTAATTAACCATGTAATAATACGAACTTCGTTTTGCGTGCCGAGGAGAATGGGTTCCCATACCCTCCTCCCGAACACAGCCTCGTGCCCTCCTCTGTTGCACCTATCAACGTATGACAGTATAAGAAAACATGATCTAGCCATGTTTGAATGTACTATATTTTCCTTCTCTTGGGTGAACTCCTAGTTTAGTATCACTAGTGCGGAACAAGTCACCTGTGTTGGCGAAGGCTTCATCAAGGATTATTGGTCAGTGATGTGAAAAATCATCATTGGCATGCCGACTGCTGTCACCGATGATAGTTATCTGTGTTGGGCCAAAATAAAAGCATGTTAACAATGAAGACCTAGCAAATGAGTCAACCTACCGCGTCACTTACTGTCACCAATGAGTCATCCGTGACGGTCTCCTACTAAAACCCGACAAAGATAACTAGGTCACCATTGATGGTGTGCTTTGGAGACCGTCACAAATGACTCATCAGTCATCACTCATGGTGATGGTCTCTTATTTAGACCCGACATCTTCGATGCGCACCTGCCGCACTGGCTTGTAAAAACCCAACACTGATGAGTAATTTAGCAAAACAATAAATTTATTATACCTATCAAAACATTATGAAATCCATCGTAGGCCGATCATATAGAATATTGCGTTAAAAATCTAACCATTTTGAGCTCCACAAAGTACATGCCATGATTGGGCCATGGACCATACAAAAGTGTGCTAATTTCTCCACATAAAACGCATAAATATAAAATAAACTTGAGAAATATAGTAGTACAAGGTAGAAATAACCTTTGGTATAATAGATCTATCAAACCATTCGAGTTCAAAACCTTCTCCCATATACTTAACTTTTTAAGAGAGAGAAAATTGTTCCAAATGGCATAGAAGTTCGGACTGGAAGATTTATAGGGGAAGCCATTTTAACTAGCGGCCCGCTTAAGGCACCACCAAGAAAATAATCGGTCAGGCTGTGTCTTAAGTGGGTCGCTAGCGAAAATGGCATTATGTTTTGCTGGCACTCCGCTTTACCCAGCCACCAGCGAAGATCGATCTTTACTGACTGGCGGTCGGCGGTCCTTAACCCCCACCCCTCATTACGTTTTCGCAAGTGGATCTAGGGTTTGGTAGCCAGTGAAAATATAGTGTGCCGCCATGAAAAACTCTTTTTTATAGTAGTAGGTGGCAGTCCTATAGTGATACAATGCCCTTCAGAATTCTGCAGTTTGCCCTTATCAACTGATAGTTTACATCCCATTTTACTTGGTCCAGTATATAATACACTAGTAGGTGAACGGGTAGTATACTACTAAATGGCATTAGTGAACTTATTTTCTATTCTAGAATGTATTTATTAAAAGCATAAAAATGATAAACATGCATTAAATACATATATGTTCGATAATATAAGGCATGTATGTAAGCATGCAATTAACTATAACATTTTCTCTACTAAATTATTATTTTTTAAATCCAACACTCTCATGTTATCTAATTCTATTAGATGCATGCATTATTTTTATAGGATGATTCAAACTATAAGATGATCATAACTATTTCTTGTTTTTAGGTTAAGAGTAGTTGTGCATTATATTTTAGAATGGAGTGAGTAACTCCAAGGTCTTAAATAAGTGTCCAAATTTTGCCCACAATAATAGTTGGCCGTCTGCTGATACTCCTCTCAGGTTGATAATACTTGTTATTTTGGATAACGGCATGGTCTCTAAAAAACAACTTTGACCATTATTTTTCATTATAATATATATATAAGTGTTAACAAATATATGATTTTATTAAAGTAATTTTTAAGACTAATCTATATGTGTAGTCACTATATTTGAAAGACAAATATTTTAAAAATGATTCATAATTAAAAATTCTAAAGTTTGACCTCACCCTTATCTAAAACGACAAGTATTATTAGCCCGGAGGGAGTATATATGATAGAACCATCAACCCCCAACTAGTTGAGTGGGGGGAGGTGAATTCTAAATTCTCGAGGGGACATCCCTCGTTAATTGCATGTCATCCAAATAATTATGAAAAAATTTAACAAGATAGATTAGTATATGGTAAATCACTTCATAAGCATGCAAGTTAAAATTTAACTTCTATAAGTTGCAATGAAAAAACAGATTAAACTATGACTAGTTAACGTATATTGACAATCAAATTTATTTTTTTCGTTGCAACTCGTAGAATTTAAATTTGACATTGTATATTTCTGGAGTGATTTATCACATATTAACCAATCTTGTTGAATTTTTTCAAAAAAATTCATAACCATTTTGGATGACATGCAAACAAACAAGGAGATGTCCCCTCCAGAGTTTAAAATAGTTTCGCACCTAGTTGACATTACTGGAGAAACCATCTTTGGTCGGTTGCTCAAAATCCACGATAGTCCCGGTTCAGTAAAAAACAGGGACAAAAGAACATTTTTAGTCTCGATTTATAAGTGCAAGGGGAATATGTGATCTTTAGTCCCGGTTGATAACACCAACCAGGCCGTATATAATCCCTTGCACTTATCCTAAAAAAATTATATCTCCTATTCCTCCTCCTCTCTCACACACTCTTATCCTCTCATCTTCCTATTCTTCATCCTCCTCTCTCATAGACTTATCTCGGCGAGGGGCGGGCAGGGCGTGGCAACGGGGGCCCGGGCGCGGTCGGCAGCGGCCAAGGCAGCAGGAGGCAGGAGGCGGCCCGCGGCAGGAGACGATGGCCGGCGCGGAGGGCAGCGCGGCGGGAGCCGGCGGCTGGCAGCATGGCCGCGGCCAACCGGCGCGGCCGGTTGCGCCTCTATATATGATTTTTTTTTAAGAATTTGTGATTCGGATCTAAGATGCATTTGATTTGTGTGTGATGTGAATATGTGATCTAGTTGTGATGAATTATGTAGAACTTATGATGTAATTTTTTTAAGATTTTGTAATGTATTTGGAGATGAACAATTTGAGGATTTGGAGATGATCCTTTGATCCGTGATTTGTGATTTCACGATTCGGGGATGATTCGGGATGGAGTGAAATCAATATTCAATATTGAAAACAATGAAGAAAAGAAAAAAATAAAGGAGCAACCAGATCAAGCCTGGCTCCATCGTTACCAACCGGGACTAAAGATGGATTTTTACTCCCGATTATTTTACCTGGGACTATAGATGGGTATCTTTAGCCCCGGATTCTTTATCCCGGTTATATAACCGGGAGTAAAGCCCCTTTCTCTAGGAGTGTGAGCTGCTGGTCCAAATAAAATGGCACACGTACACTCCTTTCACAAGAACTAAAATAGTGAGTGAGTACTGGCACGACAGCCAACTCGATCGATCTAGCAAGTTAAGGTTGAGATCGATCATCTAGCTAGGAGTAGGATACACTGGGAAGTTGAGCAGTAATCCTCGCGAGTCGTGGATATGTTCAATAAGCACACTGGGTTTCACTGGCTGGTAGCTAAGGCCTGCACTACTTATTACCATATTGGACAGGTAATTAAGCAGCAGGAGTGTTTGTTGGGCAGCTAGAGATACGAATACATGCTGGTTGCTGAAACCCCGAATTTTTTTGAGAATTAATATTATTTTTATGGAAAATCGCAAAAGTAGTGGCCAACCGGGGAAAATCGCGAAAGTAGGTCCCTGTCGAACGGGTGCAGTTCGACATATACCTGTCGAACGGCTGGCGTTCGACACGCTCACCTGTCGAACGGAGGGAATTCGAAAGGGCCCACCACCGGCGCCGCGAGGCCTGTCGAACCGGGGGCGTTCGACAGCCTCATCTGTCGAACAGAGGGAGTTCGACAGGGCCCACCACCCGGCGCCGCGAGGCCTGTCGAACCGGGGGCGTTCGACAGGGCCCTCCACCGACCCTGTCGAACAATGGGCGTTCGACAGGCCGGTTTAAAAGCCCCGTCCGCGAGCTCGATTTGTTTCGAGGACCACATCGCCAGCCGCCGCCGAGAGTCGCCAGTTCGTCGCCGTGAGCGCCGGAGGGAGCGAGGGGAGGGGATAGCAGGCCGGAGAGGAGGCCGAGGAGGCGCCGGCCGGGAGGAAAGGGTTGGCGACGCCCTCCAGCAGTGAAGTTAAGGTATACATTAGTAATCCCTAAGTACAATGCATATGAAAGTTTAATAAAAAATTGGTTTAAGAGTTGTTAATTGTTTCGCATTGTTCGATGTTAGTATGTATGGTTAGCACATATTTGTTATTGCTAAATGTTGGTAGAGGTATTTAAGTAATTGTACGGTTAAATTAGTTCTTAGTTAGTACATATTATTGATACGTTGTGTGTTAAAATATGTAGAAAGGTGTTATATTTTATTTGGATTATTAAACTAGTTGTTTGTTACTAATAGTTGTAAATTAGTACACGGCAATGTAGTATAAGTTGTAATAGGGTAATTATCGAATGATTAAATGATTAAACGTGAGACTATTTGTCATGTTTTATCAGGATGTCAGGTGATATGCCCATTCGTCTGTATTATGGCGATGCTCCTATACAAATATGTGATAGCGGGGTGGATTTGACTGTATATGCCTTCTATGATACTAGTCTGAATGCACCGGAGCATATGGGTTTGAACGACGTGTTAGGGTGGTTGTATAATATGTTTGGGGTAGATCCAGTGCACGATAAATTTGTCATAAATGCCGTGTGGCCAGTGAGGGGTCAACATGGATGGCAGTGGAGAGTAGTGGAGGTTGCGTCAACTGGGAGTTGGAGGAAGTTTGTTAGTAAAGTAAGGGAGAAAGGCTATAGCCTGGCAATAGTGGTGCAGAAGACAAAATGTGTTGATCGATCGGGGGAGTCAAGTCATGCCGTGGTGGAAGAAACTCCGTTGGAAGGTGGACAAGCTGAAAATGTTTGGCGGACTGAGCAAGGTCGAGGGGAAGAAGTAGTAGAGGGTAATACACAAGGAGAGGTCATTGTTCGTGGTACTAATCGTGAGGCCAACGACTCGGACGATGAAGAACCGGATTCGCCTATGCGTGTTGATGCAGCGGAGGAGAATGAGGCGGTAGTGGATCAGATGGAAGTGGAAAACGAGGAATACATTGCGCTTGTAGTGGAAGGAGAAGATACAACACTGTGGGACAACGAAACTTACATACCCGATAATTGGACGACCATATCAATGAGTCGTATGAAGGTAAACGATGGTTTAGATGCCCACTGGTGTTATGATAGTACGCAGGTGAAAGTTGGACAGATGTTTCATGACAAAGGTCACTTACAAGATGCGGTGAAGAGGTGGGCATTTGTCCAGAAGCGTGAGTTCAGGGTGAAGGTTTCAAATAGGACGACGTATGACGTGAAGTGCATACAGGGTGGATGTCCTTGGAGAGTGCATGGTTACAAGCCACAACATGACACTTTATGGGTAGCTTCGAGGGTTGAGCAACATACGTGTTTGTTGGAGAATACCCGTCTGGTGCACAGAAACCTGACAGCGGCATTTGTGGCACAAATGGTATATTCAAAGGTGGTTAGAAAAACATCTTTGTCCCCTTTCACCATAATGCATGACGTTGAGAAAGAGTACGGATATGAGATATCGTACGACAAGGCTTGGAGGGCAAAACAGAAAGCATTGGAGATGAGGTTTGGAACTTATGAGGATTCTTATCACAATCTTCCCCCACTATTGGAGGTGATGCAGGCAAGAAACCCGGGCACACACATTGCTATTCTCGATGAGGTGAATGAATATGGGGAGAATGTTCTTCGTCGGGCTTTCTGGTCATTTGGGTGCATGATAGAGGCCTTTAAAAATTGCATTCCTTTGCTCTGTGTTGATGGCACTTTCATGACAGGCAAGTACAGAGGAACAATTCTAACCGCGATCGGAGTCGACGCGGATAGCCATGTCGTTCCTGTTGCTTTTGCATTTGTTGAAAGCGAGAACACATCAAGCTGGCTATGGTTTTTGCGGCACATTAAAATGTGTGTTGTTGAAAACAGACCAAATGTGTGTGTTCTGCATGACCGACACGCCGGTTTGCTATCAGCGATACAGAAGCTTCAAGAAGATGTCACACAGTCCGTGCCATGGCCAGATTTACATAGCAGATGGTGCATGCGACATTTTGGGGCTAATTTTTATAGACAATTCAAGAGTAAGAGATTGATGGACCTGTTCAAGAAGTTATGCAAGCAGAATCAACAAAGAAAGTTTGATGCCATATGGGAGCAACTGGATCGTTTGACCACTACACACATGGAAGAGGTTAGGAAAAAACCCATAGTTGCCAGACAGGAGGAGCCGGAGGGACTTGAACCCATTCCTAATGAAGCACCAAGTATTACTCGGCGCAGGAAGCGTGGAAGGGCCACGAAGTGCTTCACGGAGTGGGTAGAATTTGAGCCAAGGGAGAAATGGTCGTTGTTGTACGATACAGATGGTTCGAGGTATGGTGTGATGACAACAAATCTTGCTGAAGTGTATAATTGGGTTATGAAGAATACACGACCTCTACCACTTGTTGCTATCCTGGAGGGCATCACGAGGGGTACACAGAAGTATCTCTGTAAAAGGTATTCCATGGCTAGTCTGAACCTCAGCAAACCCAGTGTTAAGTATAGCCCCGCTATTACACAGTACATGGATGAGAAAAGTAAGAAGGGAGGAATCCACAGAGTGTGGCCTGCTGGGAATAGAGAGTTGTTATTTGAGATACGACTTCGTGACAAGAGTGGTGTCGGCATTGGGACTACTGACATCACATTGGAATGCACGTTGTGGCCAGAGTATCACGCTTGCAAATGCAATTGCAACAAGCCTTACCTGTTACATCGGCCATGTTCCCATGTTCTTGCTGCTTCCGCAAAAGGGGGTGTTGATGGAAACATTTTTGTTTCTCCCTACTTTAGAAAGGAATCGTGGGAAGCAACTTGGCGTGGTGAATTGCGTGGTTGGCGTGCCGTGTGTGATTTCACTCGTCCTCCTCCAGGGCAAGCCAATTGGGTTCCTGACTCAAATTTATTAGTTGATACTAAGGGTCGTCGCCAGTCACGCAGGATCAAGAACCTTATGGATGAAGCTGAAGTGAAAGATCGTTCTCGTCGTAAGAAAGCTTGCATTCTTTGCGGGGAGAACCATTCCCGTAAAGATTGCAGCATGTACAATGTAGGGCATGATGCCACAGGCGCTGATGTTCGTCGCGTTCCAAAGGGGAAGTCGAAGAAGAAAAATAATCCTTAGTTAGCTATTATCCTCGTGGTGGACTCCCTACTTTGAAGATCGTTATCGTTCAATTTATGTTTAGTGCGTCTGTAATTTTAATTTGAACTTTCTTGCACTTTTATTACCCGAATCTATTTGTAATGGCCTTGTAATTTTCATTTTGAACTGCACTGCACTATTAATATCGTCATGTATTTGTATTGGAATTGTAATTTAAATTTCACTCGAACTGCACTGCACTTGTAATATCGTAATATATGTGTCGTGGGCTTGTAATTTTAAATTGAAATGGCATGCAAATTTGTTAATTGAATTATGTTGCATACATTTATTGTACTGTTACCATACGTGCATTGTACTAATGTTGTTTTCGATCTGCAGGTATGGCTGATCAAAATGATGGGCAGCTGATAGACAAGGAGATCGATAGGAACCATCGATCGCGACGTCTGACTACAGGAACTTTCTGCAATGTGCTAAAGATGCGAGGACCGGATCAATATTGGCGTATTGATCCTCGTTGGGTTCCAAGGTGTGTGAAAATATATTGTTTTTACTAATACAAGGTGTTTATATTTTCATGTATTAATAACTTGCGCTCTGTCATGTTGTAGGCTGAGAGCAGCTGGGTTGTTGACGTTTGCACGGTTGGTCGAGCCTTCACGTGCAAGGTCCGAACGAATCCACATTGATGCGGCGCTTCTGAGTGCTCTTGTCGATAGATGGAGGCCTGAGACGCACACTTTCCACCTAACAGTTGGAGAGATGGTGCCCACTCTGCAGGATGTGTCTTATTTGTTGGGGCTGCCGATAGCTGGGCCAGCAGTTGGCCCAACAATGGTGAATGCTGGATGGGCGGATGACTTTCTGGCCAGTTTTGGTGGTGTGCTGCCTGTTGCACTGGAGGATCTCACAGATGGGCACGGGCCTACGAAAAGTTGGTTGAATCAGTTTCGACAGGATGTCTTCCCTGATGACCAGGAGGAGTGGATCGTGCAGCGGCACTTAGTCGCTTACCTGTTGTGGTTGTTTGGATGGGTGATGTTCACGGGAACTCACGCTGACTCCGTGGACAAGCACTTCATCCACTTTGCGGAGCAGATTGCAGAGTTACCTATCGCGGAGATTCCACAGTACAGTTGGGGGTCGGCGGTACTTGCGGCGACATATGCCGGACTGTGTGATGCTTGCGTGAGGAACAGCAAGCAAAGTTCACTCCCTGGATGCCCGTTGCTACTTATGTTGTGGGCGCACGAGCGCTTCGACATTGGGAGGCCTCAGCTTGACTCGTACGCAAACTACGGTTTGCAAGAGATGTACAGGTCTGGTGTTGATGACATCGACGATCGTCCCACTATGGGATCCTTGTGGACACACCGTGAGGTAATTTTTGTTAAATTCGTTTATGTTATCATTATGAATACTAGATCACAAACTTTTCTTATATGACTAATGAAAACTACTACTTGTTACAGCCGCAGTGGGTTAGCGGGACGACACGTCGTGTCTACACTCAGTTTGTAGCTGACTTTGATCAGCTTACGCCTGACCGTGTTCGGTGGACTCCCTACACTCAGCACGATGTCAATGATCGTGCACCGCACGGTCTCGCGGATCTTTGCACGCGAGATATGCAACTCTGGAGGACGACTTGTCACCTCGTGGTGGACGTGCACGTCGAGCCACACAACGTCCACAGGGTTCTCAAACAGTTGGGCATGTATCAGGACTTCCCTCCGAGAGATGGTCGTCCTTTGGCTGATAGTCTTCATAGGTTAGTTCACATCACAGTTGTTTAATCCTACATTTTTTAAAATAAATCACTGCACAACATTTTTTCTGATGTGTGAATTTGTTGTTGTGCAGGTACTCCAGAAAGGGGCTCGGGCTTTCCTACGAGCTAGTTATTGTGACCACGGTTCAGCCGACGGTACAAGAGTGGGAGCACGCAGCTGATAACTTGGCACTTCAGACACCTCCAGACGATGGGAGTTATTATGGAGCTTACCTTCGTTGGTACCGCAGTGTTACACGATGGAGGTGTTTTCCTCCACAAGGAGATAGCACCGTCCCCCACCAGGCAGCGATTACTGACACGTTTGCCCCTCAGCCTAGATCAGCTTACAACTCAATGGTACGTGTTTATTTGTGGAATTTGAGCAACTAGTTCAATATTTTTAAAAAGTTAGCAAGTAGTTCAGTATGTCTAATAAATGTGCAATTGGTTCACCTAGTTCCTTTTCTTACATAAATGTGGAACTAGTTCAGTATTTATAAATGATGTGCAACTAGTTCATTATTTCTAACAAATGTGCATCTTGTTAAATACTCTTAATAAATGTGCAACTGGTTAAATAATTTTAATTGCCTTGATTATTTGTGGAACAGGCGGAATTTGTTGAGCACGTTCACGTGGAGTCCGACACCCTGCTGCAAAGACTAGAGGCGAGACCTCCAGTCGTCAGGTCTGACGACGTGGCGAGTGTCCTTCGCAACTTCCGTTCACGTGCTGCCGCACTACTACGTCGTGTCTCCTGTCGGAGCGCGGCAGATGTGGTGCAGACGTCGGGCCGACGGCCATCACCACCACTACACCGACGTTCCAGCGTGGATCGGAGTGGTCCATCCTCTTCACGTCGCGGGTACGAAGCGGCCCACACATCTCACGGTCGTCCTTCCTTTCAGCACACCCCAGCACCGGAGTACACCAGGGGGTCAACCGGATCAGGGGTACCCACGTCGAGCACGGCACCACCACGTCCGCAGGTATTCCAAACTCCGCCTTATGTTCACCCCTCGCAGGGAGCATCTGGGTCGACACACTTCCCTTACATGCCAACGGGGGACAACGTGTTGAACACACCAGCATGGGGACTTCATATCACTCCGCGTGCGCCAGAGCAGGGCCACACACAGCACACATGTAAGTCATTTTAAACAATAACACGCTTTAGTTTCTAATTATATGTATCGTTACTAACTACGCCATATTTTTTGGTTTCTCCCTCTTGTACAAACAGACGATGAGTACGGTTCGGCGTCGACGCATCACGGAGTGCCTGCTTACTCCCCTCGCACAGCATTCATTGAGGACTTCTTTTCCACTGATCCTCCCCAGGGGGAAGTAGGGATGGATTACTGGCACGCAGCACCTCAGGTCACACAGCCGACGCAGGATACGGAGGCCGGTCAGGGGCCAGACGTGACACCACAGCAGGCAGCTAGAGATAGGCACCCCCCTGATAATTTGACATATCCCACTGAGCAGATTAGGCGTAGGAAGAAGGGAGGACCTAGCAAGCGTGCGAAGGGCACTGATCGTCCTTGACTTATCTATTTGTATTAAACTTTTAGTCATTTATGTTCTGTCCGTACTATTTGAGAAACACTTTACGATTAACTTAGTACTATCAGTACTATTTCATAAACTTCTTCGGATAATTACTCAGTAGCATACCCTTCGAATGAATCATGACAAATTATCATTCAAATATACAAATAATGAAACTAAATAATTCAAATATTTTAACCAACAAATAAATACTACAATTTCTGACCAAACATTATCAAAACCCTAAATCACATACATATAACATTACAAAAAATATTTTCCTTTCTTACACACTAAAATAAATTACATATTATTAAAAAAAATAACTTATTACAAATAAATGGAGAACGCGACCCTGTCGAACTGCGGCAGTTCGACGGACATCCTGTCGAACTGCGGCAGTTCGACAGAAGCCTGTCGAACGGGGGCTGTTCGACAGCCTGCCTGTCGAACGGGGGCTGTTCGACAGCCCTGCCTGTCGAACGGGGGCTGTTCGACAGGTCCTAGCCTTCCGATCTCGTCGCTAGTCGCGCTCTGGCCGTTCGATAGGCGGCCTATCGAACTACACCCGTTCGACAGAGATCTATTTTCGCGATTTTCCCCGGTTGACCACTACTTTTGCGATTTTCCATAAAAATAATATTAATTCTCAAAAAAATTCCTGAAACCCCTAGGCCTCATGGTTCAACGATGGGATGTGCTTTAACGGCTGCCTCAAGTGTGGACGAAATAAACAAACTGTTGTGTTTTTTTTTCGAGTAAAGTTCATCATCGGTCCCTATACTTATACCGCTGTGTTATCCCGGTCCTTAAACTCGCAAATCGACTGTTCAGGTCCTCAAACTTGTTCGACTGTGTCATCTCGGTCCCTAAACTTACAGATCACTCGTTTAGGTCCTCCAACTTGTTCAGTTGTGTCACCCCGGTCTCTAAACTTGGATTTGAATATCATCTGGGTCAAATAGGACGGTCTAAAGACTTTATATTTAAAAATAATTCATAACTTTTTATGTGAATTTTAATGAAGACAAACTTTATATCAAACTTGTAGCCCTCGACGTGATCTACAACTTTGTAGTTGAATTTTTTTATTTTAAGTCATCTTTTTTGTCCCAAAATGTAATTTTAAAATTAAAATTTCAAAAATCTATAAACATGCAATAATATTTTGGGACCCTAAACAGTTTTAATTTAAAAACTTTTCAACTACAAAGTTGTAGCTCGTGTCGAGGGATACAATTTTGATATAAAGTTTGTTTTCATTAGAGTTCACATGAAAAAGTTATGAATTTTTTTTTATATAAAGTTTTTAGACCGTCCTGCTTAGGGACCAGGGTGACACAACTAAACAAGTTAGAGGACCTAAACTAGTGATCTGTAAGTTTTGGGACCGTGATGACGCAGTCGAATAAATTTGAGGACCTGAAAGATCGATTTGCGAGTTTAGGGACCGGAATGACACATCGGTACAAATTTAGGGACCGGTGATGGATTTTACTCTTTTTTTTCTCTCAAAACCGTGCACCGGTGGAGAACCCATTTTTACTCCCGATTGGGAACCCCTTTAGTCCCGGTTTTCTAACCAGGAGTATGAATCCGGGACTAAAGTTGTCTCGGTTGAAATAACCGGGACTAAAGATCCATCTTTAGTTTCGGTTAGTAACACTAACCGGGACTAAAGAGAGGGATCTTTAGTCCCGGTTGGTAACACCAACCGGGAGTAAAGAGAGAATAGCCGCAGTACCAGATGGTCGCTATTTTTTTTCCTTTTTCTTTTCTCCCGAATCAAGTGGCATGCAAATCCCCAAATCAAACCTTAAATCCCCAAATCAAAGTAACATCCCAAATTCACATCACCAAATCCACATCAAAAATCTTAAAGTTACTTGTACACACAAACCAAATACATCACAAATCCTAAAAAATTACACAAAAATCAAATATATCACAAATCCATACAATGAATCACAAATTTATACATCTCAGTGAATCACAAATTATTGAAAAAAAAACCAAAGCCGTTGCCGCCGCTCGACACGGCCGTCGCCTGCAGCCCTGTCGCCTGCCGCCGGGCATGGCCCCACCGGCCTCCGGCCCGCCGCCGGCCACGGCCCCGCCGCCCGCCACAGCAGCCGCCACCTGCCGCCGGGCGCGGCCCCGCTGGCCGCCGGCCCGCCGGATAGGAAGGGGAGGAGGGGGAGGAGGAGGAGGGGGGAGAGAGGAGGAAGGGGAGGAGGTGGAGGAGAGGGAATGAGGATAGATCTGAGAGGAGAGGGGAGGAGGGGGAGAGATTCGATCTGTGTGAGTTGCGGTTGTGGGGGAGAGGATAAGTGATAGGGATTATAAACTGCGCGTTCAAAATTTTAGTTCCGGATCTTGATCTTACCAACCGGGACTAAAGTGGTGATCTTTAGTCCCGGTTGGTGACACCAACCGGGACTAAAGATCCTTGGCCCCCTGACATACATTTGACAGGGGATGAACTGGGACTAAAGATGATCGACTAAAGATGATCTTTAGTCCCGGTTGGACATCATAGAATGGTGGTAGGGTTTTCAACCGGGACTAAAGATCATTTTTAGTCCGGTTCTTTTTGGAACCGTGACTATTGTTGTTTTGGGTCGACCCAGTAAAGATCATTTCTCCACCAGTGGTGGATGCAAACACAGGTGATTGCTAATCTTTATTTACTTAATACCAATATGTTCAGAAACTATTATGCTTTCATCTGCGTGTTTTATAATCCTCGAAATGATGGATTATTCAAAGGCATCTAGCACGTGAAGGAGTGAAGGAGAGAAGCCAACACCTAATTGATGGATTCCATTTAACATTGTGGTTGTTACTTGCACTAATACAGAACATTCCATCTGTGACGCCCTCTAACATACCTGGAATTAGTGGACCGTCACGGATGAGTCATCTGTGACAGACCAAAAAATCGCCCGATTAGGATATAGTCGCACAAACATGTTATATGGGCATAAAACTCAGGCCCGTCACGAATGACACCTATCAGTGACGGGCCGTAGTTTAGGCCCGATTGAAATAATATTACATATCTCAATCAGACCCTAAGTTGGTGTCCGTCACGGATGACCAGAGGCCTGGGCATGGCCCATAGGTCGAGGCGTGTCGTACGTGCTTGGGCCGAGGCAAAACCCCGTAACATGGGCCAGGCCGTCGGGCCATGGGCCTTTTGGGCAACTATAGTGGCACTACACGTGGGGCGAAGACGAGCGTGGGGCGTGGAGACAAATGACTTCGGCATTAGGCGAAGCGCGACAATTAGAAGCCTCGAAGCATGCCCATCCTGCCCATCTCGATTTAATTTGGTAATCGGATTTAATTTGGTACCACGAGGTACAGCTTATTGGATCAGAAAAACCTGTTTAGTTGATGTACTTAAGTTGATATGTTTTTTTAGATAATGGAATGTAATATCTCGGTCTTTACAAAGAGCTACAGTCAATTATTACAGAACTCACACAGAGAAACCTCACACAGAAAGTTCACGATTTGAACAATTCTCTTTGCTTGCTGAATATATATTCCATTGGGGTCTAGACAATTGTTATATCATGCATACTATTCCAGCAACATGTCCTGGTAAGTTCTATTGCCGAACGTTTCGTCTAGTACTTCAAAAATTTCGTTTTATTTAACAAATACTCACAATGTACTTAAAAAAAATCAGGACTTGAGGGTTGAGATCAGCCACAAACATGACTCATTTTATTAACAAGAACCAACTAATAACAGCATGCATGATACACCAAGCGTATCAAATTTCCTCTAAGAGGCTAACAAACAATTCAAGAAACAAAATAACACAATTAAACACAACCAACAAATCTCACATCTCGATCGACAAAACAGTGTTTTACTTAATCGACAACTAATAATAATATAACCGACCAAAAGATGAACCATCTAGACCAAATTAATTATTAACCAAAAGCAGCAGATCGACGACGAATGATAGACGATGATGGGTATCGATCGATCTATCAGTAGTTGTGGTTGACCCTCCTGCAGTTGGTCCTGACCTCGCCGTTGCCGCCGGTGAGCGGCGAGATGTTGCCCATCTTGACCATGGACCGCGCGAAGTGGGCGAAGAAGATGTCCTGATCGGCGGCGTAGAGCTCGACGAGCTCCGCCGTGGCCGGGTTGCCGCCGGTGAGGAGCACCTCGTCGGAGCTGAGGAGGCCGCGGTGGGCGAGCAGGTTCTTGTAGTACTGGTTGTCGAACCTGAAGGGGGTGACGGGGTCGAGGAAGAAGAGGTTCTGGTCGCCGCCGGAGCGCGGGCACCGCGGCCGCAGCGCCGCCGCGTACGACGCGTCCAGCGTGAAGTCCGGCAGGCCGTTCCCCGTCTGGTTGTACAGCCGCTGCCGGAAGCTCGTGCACCGGGAGTCGCCGATGGTGTGGCTACCTGTCAGTCAAATATGCAGATAATTACAACAATTTTTTTGACACACGACATCAAGTCTAATTCAGTTATTTACTGTAAATAATTCAGCCGAAATATATGTGCAGAATAATTCTGTCGATCAGTGAATGGGATGGATGGATATCATTTTGGATATTTTTCATATGAGATTTGTTCCGGTCTAGCTAAAAGTATCTCGAGATACTAATATCTCACGGTACCAAATTGTTTTCGATTGTTGGATCTAGCTAGCTAGGATGGGCATTATTGGATCCAACAATCTGGTATCGTGAGATACTGGCACCTCAAAGAAAAAATTTTTGCTGGACTAAAACAAACTCTTTTCATATACATAAAGTTTTAGCACTTGTGTCGCGATGTTGGTTGGGAAATGATTGATTTGTGGCACCAGCCTACGCTTTTGTCTGTTTAGACAGATAGTAGGTGTTTAGGTCTTGAAATGTGTCGGTGATATGTCTGGATACGACATCTGAGGATCCAGGTACTGCTGCTCTCTAGCTAGCTCCTGAGAATTTCAACGGTGGTTATGTATTTGGGTGCAACATGTGACACAAGCTACAGTTGTGAGAGGTACCAATGAGTTGCATGGATCTACGGTGTCCTTGGACACGTCAGAAGCCATGCATGTTGCGTCCTACAAGTACCATGCATCGTCGAGCTAAGCCACCAACTCTAGCTACCTAGCTTTCTCCTGGGAGTGGATTCTAATCCCTCGAGGGAATATCCCCTCGTATATCTTTTTCTTCTAAATTCGATGCAAATAGTTGTGAAAAAATCTGAAAAAAATTGACAATGTAGAGTATAATGATACCTACTAGTCCACCAAAATTCATGTTCAAATTCGATCTACACATCGAGAAACAAAAAAGACAAATTTAGATATAAACAGTACGCTACTATTCATATGCTGAATTTGTCTTTTTTATATCTCGACGTGTGAGTTGAGTTTGGACTTAAGATTTTGTGAAGTTGTATATATGTGTTGTATGAATATTGTTAAATTTTTCCAGAATTTTTTATAACCATTTATATGGTTTTTGAGCAAAGGAGGGAACATCCCCTCGAGGGATTAGAATAGTTTCCCCTTCCTACTCCCTCTATCCTACAACAAACCATTCTAAGATTGGATCGGACGTTTTTCTTATATAACGAATCTGGACAGAAGCTTGTTCAGATTCGTTATATTAGAAAATGTCTCATTCAATACTAGGTTGATTTTTTTTTACAGAGTAGGTCCTAGCTAGAGAGATGGAGATAAAAAAAAAGAGGCTACCTAGTTAAGTGCTCTAAACCTAAATAAGCATGTGAAAGTTACTGCAAATAGTCACCGACAAGCTATATAGTCACTAGCGCTATATAACAACAGTCACTGACAAATAGGTTAAGTCGTAACAATATATATAAAGGATAGATTATAAATCATATGCGACATAATATAAATACCGAGGAGGGCGACGAGGTCGACGATGTCGAGGCCCTGGAGCTTGAACTTGGTGATGATGGTGGGGAGGGTGTTGTTGGGAGCCGGGATGTCGTTGTTGGAGCCCTGCACGCTCGCCCCACGCGAGTCCCTCCTCCCCAGCGGCACTATCCACCCGGGGCCTCCCGTCTGCACGTACGAGCAATGCAAGCAATTAAGCTAAGGTTTTCATTTCGGTATTGTCATGACAAAAAAGATTGGTAGATCCAGAACCAATGACTAGTTGACTACTGATCGAATGTTCTGCATGAGCCTAGACAATTAATTAAACCGGCCCAAAATAATTCTTTCTCTGAAACGCAGAACAAATGAGATGATGCTCTCGTATACACGCGTGTATACACACACTCGCCACTATGATCATATGCGTACATCCTATCCTATGAGCATCCCCAGAATTTTATAATACTTCCATCAAAAAGATAATCCTAAGATTTTGTTTTACTGTTCTTCTTGAAAGGATTGAGAAATATTATATTTGCTTGTTTAAGCCTAATGCCATTCAGTACAGTTCTTGTACTGAGGGGCTTGATTTGGTAGAAAATTCCAATATGTTTATGTGGTCCTCAAAATCAACCTTTTTAAGATTTCTTCATAATTAAGCACATAGAAAAGAACAATTAACATGAACTCAAGCTTATCGAAAGGAAACCTTGATCGAGGATTATTGTTAATTATATCGTCCACAACAATATGACGCACGCACACACCAATTAATTGATGATGCACATGTTAATATAACTAACTCTCTTAAATAAACCCAAGCTTTAGCTAACGACGTTTCAGTCAAAAATAAATAAAAACCCAGGTGGTACATGTACTTTGTCACTTTTAATTTACTACGCCTTTAACCATGACGCGCAATGGCCAATGCTTTGTTATTTTGTAACTGTAGATAGCTTTCGTTTTGTTTTGTGAGGGAGAGAGGAACTGTAGATAGCTTTGGCGCTGCATATGCTTTACCGAGCAATGTGACCCTACTTTGTGTCGACTTTGCATTGCTAGCTTTATCCTTTTCCTTCTACACAACAACACATGGAGATAGCTAAGTAGCTGCTTTTGGTGAATAATGGTGATGTGTTCTACTTTGTCCTAGCTAGCTCTAGACTGGGTCTGGAACTATATGTTGTAGCTATAGTGCACTGCTGGGCCCATCCAAATAGCTCGACACAGGAGATCGAGATACTATACTTTTATGCCATGTGTTCCCAACCATAGAGATTTGTTAGGAAAAACATTATGGGTATATATATATATATATATATATATATATATATATATATATATATATATATATATATATATATATATATATATATATATATATATAAACCATCTTTTGAAAAGCTTACACATAATCTGTACATAAGTAAAGTGTGGAAACAAGAATGAATATGTCCTTCAGTGCGTGTACAGACCTAGCTTAGCTTACTGGCTGACCAAGTCCGACATGATGCATATTATACGTACACACAACAAGTTGCAGTCAATCCAAATCCGCGGCTAGCTTTTTAGACAATGCAAAAGCATATATTCTCAACATATGCACTACATTCATAAAAGCAATTAACCTAACTATTCGAATATGAAAAGAAAATGTAATAGGGAGGTCTAGAAAATGTATATATACCATGACGGTGGAGTCACGCGCGGCGAGGGCAAGGATGTCAGCGCAAGAGACGGTGTGTGGGCAAGCGGCCTCCAACGCCGCCTTGATTTCGTCGATCACCTCGAACCCCCTCGCAGAGTCCCGGTTAGGGTTCGACCGCTTCTCGCTCATGATCGTCGCACTGCTGTCTAGTAGGATCGACGCGTCGCAGCCCTGCAAATGCATTATTTTTTGTAATTCACTCATCGAGCCATTGTATTGTACAATTAATGAACTCCTCCATATAAAATGGGAAGAGATACAGGTCTTTTTTTCGCTCTTTAGAGAAAAAAAAATCCCATATGTAACTATGTACCTTGACAAAGCAGTCGTGGAAGTGGAGACGGAGGAGGGATGCGGCCATGCGGGGGTCCTGGTAATGCGCTTTCCCGACGATAGATGCCACGATTTGCTGTGCTTGTGGGCACGAGTGGTCGTAGAAGTGAGGGTCTAGCTGCTGTTGGCCCCATGAAACAGGAGGGGAAGGGAATGCGGATGCGAGGGGGAAGACGATGGCGATGACTAGTAGGAAGGCAAAGGCAGCCATTGCTGCACTCATGGCTAAGCAAAAGAGAGCTAGCTAATTGAACACTTGAGACTAGCTTGGTGCAGTAGTGATGATGGGTGAGAGAGGTTGAGCAGGAGGGGTGGTATTTATATAAGGGATGGTAGAGGAAGCTAGACAGGGGTTGCTTGGTGCCTTCAACAATGAACAACATGTGGTGTGGGCAATATATTCTATGGAAATAGAATTTGTGCCTTTGTGTGGGGCAACAAGAAGTAAGCACAGATAGCTAGCTGGGGTGGCTCAAGGCAGCTTGTACCCCTTTTGCAGCTTTTGATCAGCAATAGACCATTATAATTGGTTTTGCCATCTTAACAACAATGATTTTATATATACTTTTATGCAATGTGGCCACCATATATATATTTCTGTAAAAGTATATATTGTTGCAGGGCAGTGTATATATGTTAGCTATAGGGTCTCAAGGGACTAATGGCCTTGTTTCCCGGTAACCAAGTTATTCTATAGGCATCTGCTTTTTGCACAACAAATTTCTGCATGGATGTAAAGGGAAAGGGCAATCTAAAGGCAAAAAGGAAAGGGCAAAAAAAGAAAGGGCTTGTCATAAACAAGTTAGCAGTGCCGTGTCCAGTAGCTCAAATATTTGAATGTGGCAATCATGCAACTCTCTGGATTGTATCTCTCTCTGGTGGAACTTATCTTCTTTCCTTGTGTTTCTTTGAGGAAAGCATGCATGCCCAGAGAAATTAATGGTGATGACGTAAAACAGATATAAAGCTAACTATGCTGCTAATCCTTTTTTTTTCTTCTTGAACAATTGATTCTCGTTGAAACCTGATTCCTCAGGTGTGGTACTTGAGCCTGCCGGGATGGTCAAGGAAAACCAATTTATATCAAAATTAGCTCATGTAATTTGCTTTAGTTCATTTGTTTGCATAGAAGACCACGGTGACCCCATCTTGCAGTTTCTAAGTTTTGTTTTCCTTTTGTATGAGTAAGAGGTGGTTCATGTGAGATCGAAAGTTGGCATATTTCACATGGATGCTATGAAGCAGAAATGAACTCTCGAGCAATTATTTTCAATATCAAAGAGAAAAAAAATTACATATCCAATGCGCATTATCAAATCTTACTAAATGTACTAGCTAATAAATTTAGTTCTGAAGAACAATCATGCTCCTTTCCTGAAAGATTTTGTGATGTTGTTGAGGTATTAAAAATTGAAGAAAGTGATTGCCGACCAAGCCAGAGCTTAAAATTTTACGATGCTCTTCTAATCTTAATTTGATGAGAGGATCATATCAATAGAGATATGAAATGTGCTGATGCGCATGATTTCGATCCCCATTAGAAGCTGTAATAATAGAGAATTATCTCTCCACAAGATAAAACATATACTACATTTTCTTTAGATTAACTTTTACTACATTTGACTGGAGATCAGCTGACCGAACAGAAGTTGTTAGTGGAAATCTACAGGTCCATTCTCCCACTTGTGTAAAATGCCAAGAATTTTATGTTCGTTTTGTTAGTACCGACGATTTTTTTTCAATATATATAGTACTCTGAACATACACACACACAAAGAAGTGAATCATGTTGATTGTTTGTTTTAAACGTCCAAGTATATTATTAGTTTGACCATCAAGTCATACTTTGCTTGCACTAACATAATAGTATATATTTACCTAACCATAACAACCCAGGCCATGCCATGTCAAGATATCTACCAGAAGAATAACTTAGAAAGGAGGAAACGCGACTATCCAATAACTCGTGTTCAGTACGTAATTAAGGCAGTAACAGATGAGTAATCCCTACATACTCGTAAAGGAAGTCGTTTAGGACAGCGACACGATCTCCAAAACACAACTTTGACTTTTTTTCTATAAAAATATTTATTGAAAAGTGATATATATATATATATATATATATATATATACTTTTATGAAAGTATTTTTCAAGATAAATTTATTTATATAATTTTTATATTTTCAAACTAAAAAACTTAAGAGTTATTCATGATTTATATTCCCAAGATTTGACGACTTCCTTTACGAGTATGGAGGGAGTAGATGATGGTTCAACTCTCAACATCTCACTTCTCCAATAATTGTTCTCTCAGCAAATTATATTAACTCATTATAGAAAGTTCCCCGAAAAAAAAACTCATTATAGAAAGTTATTCCTTATATAAAAAAAGGAAAATTATGGTAGCGCTATTACGCGCGCTGCGCTCCTAATAGTAGTACTAGGAAAACTATTCAAATTCTGATTGACTTTTCTTGAAAGATTGAAAAGCCTTTTCTTTTGTTAAATTCAAACAAGTATGAAATTTAATGAAGACTAACATAGTGAGCCTGCTAGCATGCCGGATCACTAGCTAGGTACAAAATCTTTCAACGATTAGTCATACGTAATTAAGTTGGTCTAGAAGATTATGGATCAGCCAGTGAGTACTAGAAAGTAATATTAATCGAAGAAGATTGTTTCTAAAGTCATCCTACAGTTGTGCAAGAACACATCATACTAACATTTAACAGAATCAAACAAATGCATAGGAGAGAATTAGTTGGTAAAGAAATGTCTCGAGCTTTACACATGTCCATATCCTGTAATGTGGTTTAGGTGCTGCGTACGATGCTTCAAAGAAGGACGTCGCAAGGCTTATTCTGTTATGTGTCAAAATTTATTAATTGATCGTTTTAGACACGTGCACATCTCAAGGGCCTGGCTAATCAATGGTTTTTAATTAATTATATTTCAAGCATGTCCTTGGATGCTTTGATTTAGACCGTCGGTGCATATATTAATTCCTTTTTTTTTAATAATAGTATTTATTTTAGCCTTTGCTTCTAAGAAATTAAAGTCAATTATTATAGAGACGTCGAAGAACGAATGACTACAAATTACAAATTATAGGTTGACTTAAAAAACCTACTTAGAAAGCCACTTGAAGACAAATATTTTCATCTATGGTTACCCAGAGTACAAATACTTTGTATTAATTTCGTTGAACGAATGCATGTTTCCTTTCTGCATGATTTCGTAGGTCTTAACAGCTATAAGATCAATCCTATTAATTTGATGTGTATTGGAGAATTCCAATTGCCCCTTTATGCACTTTGTGATAAACCTTAATTTAATACATTTATGAGTCTTAAGAAAAGCAGACAATTAATAATGGCATGTTTATTGTGTCTTTCAGCCATCGAAAGGCATATGAGTTGCGGACCATCATATAAAGGGAACAAATGCTAGCTTGTTTGATGCAACGATAAAAAAAAAAAGAAACATATTATAATAGTATATAGCTATAGGACCATTCCCTTCTGTCTATGTTGCTCACCTTATTTAATTAATTCAATCACTCCATTTTATGGTTTAGATGCGTATATAAACTTCTACTCGTTTGAGTTGAGATCATGTACAGCAGCCGTCAATCTGATTTGTCTATTTCTTGATTTAACATTTCAAATCTGCTAGCTACTACTACAGTAGAATCGCTGCTGAAGTTGGCAGCGCCAAACTCTGTTTTCTCTGTTCTCTCCACTTCCTTCAGTTCACTGTAGCCCGTCAGAAAATATTCACTTAACTTCGTGTGTCAGTGGGCCGAGTGTACTCCCACCACTAAAAAAAAACCAACCTTGACATAGTGATTCGTTCTCCTAGGAAGTGTCCCATCTATGTCAAGGTTGGCTTTTTTTTTTTTGGGACGGAGGGAGCAAAGCACTCGTTTTCCTGACAAACTTGCAGTAAAACTAGCTAAGAGCAGCTACAATAGCAGACTATAAATCAGCTATAAATATATTTTAAGAAGATAAAAGAAAAAAAGATAAAAGCAGCGGCTAATAAATTAGTAGCCAGCTGCAGCACAAGATGCATGTGTGTATGACAGGTGGGATCAGACATTAATGATGTAGTACATGTTTATAGGTAACTATTGTATGAATTGGCTATTAAATTGACTATAGATAATTAGAGTCAATAGTTGGCTATACTATTAAACTTGCTCTAACGAACAAGAACCAGGGCCGTCTAAGCGCGCATTTTGAACAACTGCACCCTCTCATTTTTCATGTGCACACTTCATGAACGGTTAAACGGTACACTTTTTATAAAAAATTATATATACAAAAGGTGCTTTGAAAATTCCTATTAATCTAATTTTAAAATTTTTTATAACTAATACTTAATTAATCATACGTAACGAGCTACTTCATTTTCCATGATAGAGAGAAAGGTTGAGTACACGTGGTTCGAACTCAGCCTAATACTATCATCGATCTCAGATGCATATGTCACATATATTGTCATGTGACCAAATGTGATGCAAGATATATATATCTTCCTGCACCTCTACAAGCTACCAAGAGATGATGGCGTGGCAACGCCAAGGTGCCTTCAGATCGACACGCCCGGGTTAAAATTGGCCCATATTGTCCATTGAGATAACTCCAGTCTTAGTCACGTAGCTTAGGCCAAATCAGCTGCCACTTTTCACCGACTCTCGATCGATCTACGAATCGTTTGGCCGACAGAATTAATCCTTTTTTATTTGCAGTGATCAATCAGCTATAGATCGGTCAGCAATTCGAAACGCCAGATAGATGGATGCTGGGGATTTGCTACTGGCCACTGGGATTCGCTGAAGGAAGAAGACGATGACCTTCCAACGGTTTATCGATCGCTCCTCCCGCTGGGATTCTTTATGGTCAAAAACTTCAATTTTCTATTCTGCTATACTTGTTCAAGTTAAGTCAAAATTTGTTTAATTTTTGTTTTTTTGTTAGAAATTCCATTTTGACATGGTCCTACCCCTAGCGACGGAAATGTGTTTGATTTCCAACCATGAAGCTAGCAACTTTTGGTGGGCTGGCCTTCCGGTAGTTGGCAATTAATTCAACAGTGTGACTTAAATTCTCTCCCCACACAAATATATATCTTACCTAGTAAAAAGTAAATTTTAAAATACTATCAGGATGAGCCACATATTCTGGTGAACAAATGGTCATTGGATCGAGAAAAAAAGACAAAATTGAGAGAGGAGAATTGAGTCATTGATTATAAGAGGGGAAAAAATGATGATGAAATTCCAAAGCCTTCCAGCAATCCAGAAATGAGAGAGAGAAAGAGCAAAGAAAGAAAAGTAGCATTGGAGGAGAGTGGAGGTGT